GGTTCATTTATACGACCTGCTCCCTACCAACATTCCTAGACCCATTAATATTCCATTCTTACTAACTATGGTTCACACTCCCTTGGTAAAGGTCCTTTTTAAGTTTTTATCTACTAACAATATTCAACTTTAATTTCCCATGCCCTTAATATTATTACTACTATGTATTTAGATTACTAACAACTGTGTTGTCCTTTTTCAGAGTCGCAACCGTCACCATCAACCGGTCATTTGTCAAATAGATCTATACTCCGTCTATCTCTCTGTTCTTTGCTACTTAATCTTTTAATCTTCCTTTTTTCGTTTTCAATTACCTTCAACCTTGACGTTGGCGAAATCATCGAAATTAAACGATGGGGTCCACTAGCAACTAAAAGAAGAAGAAGAAGACAGTAGTTACCAGTTGTGACAGAACACGGACTTGAACTAATGGACTGGACAGGCTTTATGCCAAAGTATATTTTTTTTTTTTTGCAGATGGAAGCAAACGAGCTGCGAATCGCCTTACATTAAGTAATCCAATGCGGCCGATATAGGCGCTTTCTCTCTTCGATTAGATTGTCGCCATTTAGGCGCTGCCAGTAGCATTTGGTGTCTAACAACAAAAATTGCAAAACCCTGGTATTTTTATATATGGAAGCATCTGTTGGCGTTGACATGGAAATGTAAATTGTACAGATTTTAATTTGAATGAATGGTCTGATTGATATTCAGATATAAAAAGGGGCTCTCTTTTCTCTACTTACTGACGTAGAAAAATAAGATTGTACTTTTTTGAGTAACAATGACTACGGAAATTTAATTACGAAACATTGGGTCGCTGATTCAAATCGGCCAATCGATCGTAGAAGTTTTAAGCTTAGTAAACAGGGATGATAGTAAATCATTTACAGCCGTATCATTTTATAATAAAACACAAAACATGAAGCAATGAAAGACCGTTATAATTTTAAACATGTTTATTACATATCACTTTCGTTTTTGTAAATAACATTTATTCAGTGGATTTCTTGATATACCAGAAATTGTGCATTCCTGTCATAATGGCGCCACAATCTTCATTGTTATCGCAACATTCTAGATTTATCTCGATTACTGATACTCTTACTGAACGTGAATATAAAACTTCATAAGTCGACTAAACCGTTTCGGAGGAGTACGATAACTAAGGTTGTGACTCGAGAATTTTATATATAAGATAGTAAAAGTCATATTCTTTTATTTCAAATTAACAACCTAAAAATATATTTTAATAATAATAAAAATATATTCAAATCAATTAGCTGTAAAAATGACGATACTTCCATACCACCTTTCATTCCCTTTTCAACCTTTTTTTTCGCGTTACTATCTGTGTACCAAATTTCAATTAAATGGGTTCACTACTTTTAGCATGAAAGCGCGATAGAGAGACGGACAGAGGTTCTTTCGTATTTATAATATTATTATAAAGTAAGGATAGTAAGGACTATGACCCAACTTCTCTATTTTTTTGTTATAATAGTATAAAAAACAGAAATTTAAAAATTATATATATCACATTATCGAGGTACATATGCCAAAACAATGAATAAATTATACTTTATATTAGTACAATCGCCAGCTTTGACGCATTTGAAACAAGAATTGATAAAACTTTACCAGTTTTCCAAGTGTCTTGTATTATTTCTTAATTCTACAATAACCTACAAATTAAATTTTAAATAAACATATGTTTATAAATAAATTGTAAGTAATTTGTTCGATTCCGTAATGTACAAGAAATGAAGAAAAGATTCTTTTAATTATAATTATTATGAAAATAAGACGCCATTATTTTTGACTCTTTTATTTAACAGATAAGTGATCTTTTATTTCTTACTTGAATAATCTTACAATTGTAACTCATAAATGCACCAATTTTTGTTTCGGTTCACGAAAACGAATTCTTTAAAAATATTTAAGTAACGGCAACACTACTTTTAATTAATATAAAAGTAAAAAATAATTAAGTCTATGGCAAGGCAAAAAAAATCTTAGCGCCATGGTAGTACCCGCCAATCCTTGCTTGTTGTGCCACCACCTTAATCTTAAAAATAAAATGTCACCGACTAATCTTCAATATCGCTAGTTTGTAATCTGAAAAAAAATCTACTGAATCGAAACTACCACTTTAATAAAACAAACAGTCTTTGATACTAGTATTTTTTTAAATAACTCTATACATTTATGTGCCATAATAGTAAACAAAATAGCATTGAGTTATGTACTCTCCTTTAATGCTCTGACGCGAATTATCTTAAATAAGCTTAGGATACACGAAGACGCTGACAACTGTCACAGCGGTGTTCACATGTATACAGTCGATTTGTATACATATATGTACACTGAGCGTCTAGTGTATTTTATCGTGTATCTGTAACATTATTAGTTCATAATTTGATTGAGAAATCAATAGATTACAAACTATTATAAAGTAAGCCAATCAAAATTTTTTTCTTAGCTTTTATGTATATCGCTAGAGAAATAATAAGCTTACAATTTTACGGTGACACAAATACTTAATAAATAAATCACTGATTTCAACTACAATCTATTATTACGAGGATTTTTTGACAGTCCGTCTGAGTGTGAAGTAAGCCAGTATCCTGACGACGACGATCTCTGTGAGTAGTATACTGATGTTAATCCAGTAGTTGTCAGGGTTCATACTGAACTCTTCAAGAACTTTATTAGGATACCTGAAAAGTGCACTGTCATTAATATACTATTGTGTCATAACATGTACAGTCAGCTGCAATATGTATACACTTACAAAAGTTTAGATCCTTGTATAGGTTTTAAAAATACGAATGCACGTATTGGTCAATAACGTCCAACCATGGTCGGAAGCGTGCTGGCGGACGCGTGTATACATATTTTTAAAATGGAAGATTTCTACGAGTTTTTGAAGCTTTGTAAATGTATAATTTTTTATGCAGTTGACTTTACATGTTATTGACCTATTGTGAATAACGGTTGTTTGTTATTTTTCGAGGAAAATAGTATAATATACATATTGTAAGAACTTGATTCACGATATTACGACAATTTATTGTCTGCCTCAACTAAAGGAAATTAAGTGTCGCAGAATCTCAAATTATTTTTAAATAGGCCTAACAATGCCTCATTTGAACATTGATTTCATGAACATTTAGTACTACCAGAGCAGTCTTATCCATATTAAGGGTCCAGGTGTGAAAATTAGTAACCCTATAAGTAGTACGTCTATTGGCTGGTGCCCTCAGTATTCCTTCGGGCATTAGAGGCGCCTAGGTTTGCTATAATCAGTTTTTTTGCTGTACCTTAAATGACAGTAGATGACGTCATTGGGGCAGACGAGTGGCGCACGGCCATACGAGTACATAGAAAGTACGAGGCCCTCGAATGCGTAGCGCAGGAATGACATGTAGGAGACAAGACGCATGGCCGGTGTCATGTGCGCGAACAACACCAGAAAGCCCGCGAACGCTATCATCGCACACGTCGTTATCGCTCCGATAAACGTTCCGTTCTAGAAGAAAGTTATAGATTAAATAAAATAAAGAGATTAGTAAAATAATGTAAGATTAATTTGAGTATAAATATTCGATTTAGTCGACCAACTCGATTTAGTAAAAACAATTTTCTAATTAAAATCTTACTCGGACTGTTAGATTACTCGGGTAAGGTAAATTTCCTCAGAATGCCATCAATTAGGTAACCTTTTTTTACTTCTTAACACTTAATGCAAAGGTGAAAAAGTGTAATAATAATATGTTAATTATAATGTGGGTTTCCTAGATCAAAATTCCCGTTTAAAACACATTATCTCTGTTTTGTCAAAGATGATAGGCATAAAGATATGTTACATACAGAGATTTTAGTCACAGAAACCAAGTGTTTTATTCTCTTGTTTATTTCTGTCATAAAAATATTATTGTTGTAAATTTGTTGCAAAGAGAAAGCTACCATAAACGCGAATTCTCTGATGACGTAATAAACAAAGTTATGAAATTAAACATAATGTATGAGATATTGCGTGTTTGGTTTAGTTAGATAACCGGATTCTCCACATCTATCGCGTAATAAACCCGTGTAATAACACTGATTTATCAACGTCAAAAGCAAACGACTTAAATAATGTTAATCCATGCAAATTCGCAATTATTCTGTTCTATTATAAAGTATATATAATGATATAGATAATACATAAAAATCTATAATATATAACTTCTTATTAATATTAAGAATGCGAATAATTGGATGGATGGATGTTTGTTTGAAGGTATCTCGTGAACGGTTGTATGGATCTCGCTAAAATTTGGCATAGATGTAGAACAGTCTGGAAGAAAACATATGCGACTAATTAAGTTTTTTCAGCTAGTTTCATTATAAAAATAAGTAAATATAATACAAAAATTATTTGCGTAATAAATATACGACTACATTGCACATTCGTATATTTTAAGTTTTCATTAATTACTATAAACAATTAAATCATAGTATCAACAAAATTAGCAATTAAATTCTATATATATCGTACGTATCTACTAGCGCAACGTCAACACAAAAACATCGATATATTTTTGTGTATATTGTCGGCAGTGGAAACAGATTTTTGTACTTACAACAGGATTTACACATGTGCCGATGACATTTCCGACCGCATCCGCGAGGAGCGTGATATTTGCGAGCACCAGGACGAACATGCCAAAGCGCCAGAACTCCGGCGGCTGACCTGACAGGAAATACGACGGTGCTGAATACACGAAGCTAAACCATATCTGTGGAGAAAAAATCTTTCTTAACATGGGTTTCTGAGATCGAAATCTCCGTTTAAAATATATTGTTATCTCTGTTTTGTCAAAGATAATGACAAGGATGACGATATGTAAAGAGATACACATTTCGTTACATAAGTGAGAAGAAAGATATGACTTAAGTAAGTGGAGTAAAAGAGAAGGATTTATTCAATATAGCAATAGACTATACTATAATGTGCTTTTAACAAAATAATGCAATGAGATGATGTTTGCCTGTCTTTTTGTTTGTCCGCAAGACCACGTTTTTTTTTGCGTTATTTGTTTCTTAAATTCTGCGCTAAGTCGCTAGTCGTATCATAAAATGTTTCTGTACTGTTTTTGCGTATGCTTATGTTATATATAAATAAAATATTTAATTTGCCTGTAACGGTATGCCAGTGACCAGGATAGCAGCATAATAAGTCTTGAGGTTGTACCAATTGTTGAAGTTTTCTTTTTTCAACACGGCCAACTCCAGAGGAACTGTCGGAAAGACGTAGAATAATTACATGTTATTGGGAGCCGAGTTCATTTTTTTGAAATATTATAGCAATAATCGGTAATTAGCAAGGTGAAAACGAGTTCTAACTATTCTAGGTGAATGGTTTTTAGCCCCTAGACCCCTTACATTATTCGATAATAGTACAGTCAGCTGGATAAATGTATACATTTACAAAGCTTCAGAAACTTGTGCATGCCTTTAGTTGCAAAAATATGTTTAATAAATGTATCCTTATACTTCTGACCATAAATACATGTAAATAACGAATACGTACATACGTATTTTTGAAACCTAAGCTCTTAATAATTTCCGTAAATGTTTACATATTTACGCAGCTGACTGTACACTATCCCCAAATTTTGCTTCGCCTGCATCAGTTTAATTTTACATCTTTAAATTAGTATACACAATTAATAAACTTACATCTAAGTACAGCGGGCATGAGTGATGTATAGCAGAGGTATGCGGAGGAGACGATGAAGTAACCCAAGTTGTTGACGGTCTTGTTGCCGTTGCTGCCCGCCTCCTCGTACAGCAGCCCGATCAGCACGCCGATCACAATGTGCAGCAGTACTTTCAAGTGGGTCACCGTCTATATAACATTATATGTAAAAGAGTTCTTTAATAATAATATCTCCATAGATTTTATAGGTTGAATAAAGGTTAACGCGCATTGTAACACTGTCGGCGGCAAAGTCGAGGCTACGACAAGTGGATGTCGCGGTTATCGCGAGGTAAGGCGCTGTCGGTTGGGCGAGAAGTCGGTGTCAAGCATTTTTTATTTAAATTAGAGTCGAATGGACAGGATTAGTTACTTGTCACAGGTTTAATTTTATACTTAGACAAATTACTATTTATCAAGTCAGCTAAACGCGGATCAATAGTTTCCGAGTTCTTAAACGGGCCCAAAGAAACTTTTACTTCGTTTATTATTTTCTATAATAAATGTGAATTCTTAGACAAATGAGTTACACTCACCCAATCTCTATACTGCTGTATGATACATCGTTTGAACAGTATACTGAACTTGTAGATCTCATGAGGACGTCGTATGATAGTGGACATCTTGCCGCACGAGAACTTCACCTCGTCAGAGTTTGTTGGCGTTGGAGGTGATGGTATCACGTTGTCATCGGGACAAGAACATCGAGCTGCCAGTTGCTCGTTGAAGTTGCCGTATTCTAAGTTTGCTATTTCTAGTACTGTGAATGAATAATTTGATATTGAAAGATGTGAAAATATTGTATTTCATTTGAAAACTACTAAGAATATCTTATTTGTGCGAGAGAGATATATTTATCTATTAGAGTCGTTCATTTCTTCCTCAATATGAGGACCAATGTACGTAACATTTCTTTCAACAGATACTTCATTATTCTTCAACACAAGCTGAATTTATAAGGGTTGTCAAAAATGACATATTAAGTTCTTTTAATTCAGAAATGTTATAGCACTATAGTCAACTTACTGTAATCAGCAGGATTGTGGTACTTGGGGCACTGCAGACCGACAGCGGCGAGGTACGGAACTGTGTCCTCGCTGGAGCCGTGATATATACACATGCCCTCAGCTAACACGTATACCTTGTACATGGAATATTGATTATCATATTGATACCCCTACTACTTAAAAAGCCGTCTACATTACGCCAGTTGGATATAAGTGTTGATTTTGAGTGCTACTGTCTTACTAAACTGACTTAATGTAAACCAGGCTTTAAGACGTTGCCAAGAATATAATAGCCAGCATTTATTTTGGGATGAAGGAAACATTCAAATCTGACATTCCTACTATCTTATCGTTTTACCACAGATTATAAAACGCTATATTAGTATTGATTCTACAATAATCATGAGTTTATTCGGCATTTGATTCGAATTCGAGAGTTCTCTTCCTTATGATTTACCAAATTTTCAGAGTGCATAGATACGACAGTGTGATACTAAAAACATATTAAAATTACCAGCTGTTGTGGTATCATTTATTTTATGTTTGGTTGTATGTAAATTAAATGTAATTTACAACTAATTACATAAAACAATACCCACTAAACAACATCATCATTCTTTTAAGCTGAATCATTACCTAAGTTCATTCTTTTGTTTAGTCATTGTGGCATTACATGTCTATGATGTGTGATTCTTTAACATTTTTTTCTTAACGACACAAATGGCTACATATATTAAACCTGGTTTCTGTGTCTAAACCGCTTACACTTCACAAAATTCGATGAATAAATCATCTCTTATTGTTAAAGATCTAATTAAGTCTACTAACATGATCAAATAATGTGTAGAGAGATGCTGAAGGCTGGTGTATTGTGCAGACGACGGTCCGGCCGTCGCGAGCCAGCGCTTTCAGCATTTCAACGCATTGCTTTGACGTCAGGCTGTCCAGACCTCTGCAAATATGAGATACAACATTTTGTAGCGGATTTTATTTAACTGTGAGGATATGATTTGAAAGTAAGATAACTGCGGGAAAGCTAAAATTGTTGTGTTTTGTGAGAATAGCTGACGTAAAATTTAGATGACTGTGAACTTTTAATATTATTCATTCATTTGGACCGTGAGTGGCTCTTCCCTATTTGTCTTTAGTTCACTGCTTAATCTTTGTTTTTAAAGTTTAGTTTCGATAAAGCAATATGAAGAATTTTATTAAAATATTATGAATTTGTTATTGTTCAATTGATTTATTATTTGTCATCACCTCAGCGTGTTTTGTAAACTACAATGATTTATTACAAAATTATACTGTAAACATTATTGTAAATATAAATCAATTAATTCTATTACAACTCTTATTATGTTGTTTAGATAAAGTTTATTTTTAATACAAAATAAAATAAGTATTTGAAAGAGTATTGCTAATTGCAATTAACGTTTAATTTTTCATAAGTGCGTAATCATTATTGTTAATTAAGAAATTCCGTTAGCTAATTTGGCAAGGATTTTTTTTTCGGAAAACAAGTGAAGAAATTTTATAATTGAAGGCCTCGAACTCGTCTTCGTAAAGTCATCATCAATGTCAAAATAAACATTTTTTTGGTGTCCTTGAAATTCAATAAACTAAGTTTTATCGATGACGATAAGATGATAATTGTCACAAATATTCTTACTAGACCCATTGCGATGTGATTTGTCGACATTAAAAGTTTTTGTTGGAAGATTCCATTAATTGTGGTATCAATGTCCATTATTAAACCGTCATGGAGAATGATTTTGTTAATTACCGCGCCTCTTGATTTTATCATGCTTTACATTCTTAGAAATAAGTGGCACGTTACTCGTCTACGTGGGTTTCAAAGACCAAAATCTCCTTTTAAAATGTTATCTCTGGTTTGTCAAAGATAATGACAGGGATGGCGATACGTTTTATATAGAGATTTTGGTCTCAAAAACTCACGATTAATGCGAGGCGTGGATTCTGATGACATTTTATTACCTCGTGACAAAAATCACGTAACAATATAGTAAAGAAAAACATCGTGATGCAACATTTGCGAAGCAATTCACAGATGTGTGAATTCAACCAATGCATTGGGCCATATTCGTAGCCCTTTGGCTGTATTGTATATGAGGTAATGACAAAAGCGATATAAAAATATATATTTACGTTGTAGGTTCATCCAAAAATAACACAGGAGGGTTGTCGATCAACTCTACCGCAATGGATAACCTTTTCCTCTGACCTCCGGATAAATTGCAGCATCGTGTGTTCTCCGTGCCCGACAACCCTAAAGTATCCAAAATTTCTGTTACCTGTAAAAATATTCAAATGTATACTGAAGTGCAATATTATTGTTTCGTTTACATTTAAAGAGATATAATTATGCAGGCGAATTCTCAGTTAATAGCCACTGCTCAGAAAAACATATTTATAATATCATCTTTAAAATAACAATAATCATTTGAAAACCGACTAATTCATATTTTAAACACAAGAATTATATTTTTTGTTTCATAATAACGCAATAAAATATTGCTAACAATAGAGTTAAATGTACGTATATAATTAAAACACACAATTATTGAATTTACTTTAAATATAAAAGTCTCGTAATTCTTGAGAACTTTGGTACAATGGTAGTGGTACTTTGGTGGTATATGTGAAGAGCGAACAGTAATTTTGATAGAGTAGAATCACTAGTTATTACTACAATAAACACAATGGAGGATGAACACATAGGATGGGGAAATATTGTCATTGTGTGCGTCCCCTCCTCCTTTGATTAAAGACACACATCTGCAAATACGGATGTCTATGGGCAGCTATCGCTTCGTATTACGTCGAATTCTGAATGCCACTTGCATTTGCCACATTATAATGTAAAAAAAAAACACAATCTAAAAAACTATTATAATACAAAAAATGTGATATTTTAATTAAATCTAGCATTTTAAAATAAAACCAGTTTAATTATTACTTTTTTTGTAAAGTTGAGAATCACTTACCACACTATGTTTAAGTTTTTCAGTTAATGTATAACCGAGTTTCATATCGGCGGCGAATTTCATAAGTTCGGCAACCGTGAAGAGCGGGTTGAGTCTATCATCCTGTAGGATGTAGCAAGATTTCTTCCTGTACGCAGTCAGGGAGTCCATGGACTTGGCCTTCTCCTCCAGAACGCATACGCTGTTGCCCGCTCGTATCGTTCCGGTTACGCCTTGAACCCTGGAATATAAATGTAATTAGATTTAGATGACATGACTTTATAAACAAATTAATATTCAATTAGCTTTGTCGCTAGAATCGATAAAATTTGTCAAAATGTAGAGGTGAATATGCGACAAGCAGTTACATCAAAAGCTATTCTAGTTCCATACAGCTTTAACTTTTCGATTAGCTATCGTATGTTACTTTGTCGTGATAGGCTGATACCAAAAACCAAGATACATTTTTTTTACTGTCATTCTCAGTCATTAAATGGACACTCAAGGCGGCCCTTATAATAGACTAGCTGTCGTCCGCGACTCCGTCTGAGCGGAATTGAAAATACTAATAAGATTATGATAAGAAAGAAGAAAGATAGTAAGATGTATTTTATTATTAATTAACGCCATTAAACAAGTGGAAGTTTGTATTTTGCGATTTAATCACAAAAAAAGGAATACATTTTAAAAATGAATTTACAATTAAAAAAGAAACTAAATGAGATTTAACTTTACAAATTGCATAAATGAATTGTAATGTGCAGTTACAGAAACTTCAAGGTCAAAACATCGCATATCTGAGTCACACAAAATGCTGCTAAGTGTACAGTATAAGTATATTAAATATTATTTTTTATCTTTTTATATTTTAAAGTGGTAACCAGTCACTTTTTATTACAAAAATAAATAAAAATACGAACGATTTAAGAACCTCCTTTTTGAATCGGTTATAAATAACGAAGTAATCGTGTTTACATAGAGCTTTTTCAAGTATTCAATTTAGTTTACATTATCTGTCGATTATAAATATGTTATTACTAGCTTTTACCCGCAACTTCTCCTGTGTATTCGAGACTATGTTGGGGATATAACATGTATTTCAAATTTCATTGAGATCCATGCAGCGGTTCTGGTGATAATTTCTATCAAACATTTATCCATACATCTAAAACTCCGCTTATAATATTAGTTAGATTATTAGACAATTAATTTATAGTCTATGGTATAAGAAAACAATAGACATTAGTTGTTAATCATTCATGACGAATGATCAAGTCTTTTAATTAATTATGTCTCACGTTACCGCTACTTTATCATAATAACAATAGCAGCTATGGTTGCCAACAAATAAAAAAAATTTAAATAAATATAATGTAATAAAAACTTCCTTTATATTTACTAATAATCCAATATACAAGGTATTTTTTTTGTTTCAATTTTAAGTTTTAACAAAAAGTATTTAAATCACTAGCTGTCGCCCTCGACTCCGTCCGCGTGGATATATAAGAAAACTTAATTATTGTAGCCTATGTATCCTTTCAGACTATGTTCTATACGTATGCCAAATTTAATCGAGATCCGTTCAGCCGTTCTAGATATACCTTCAAACACCCATCCATCCATCCACATCACATCCATCTAAACATTCACATTTTTAATATTAGTAAGTTAAATAAAAAGCAGCTCATCAAGGTATGAATTCGAAAAAAAAATCAATAATTAGTATCCTATGTCCGTCTCCTGGCTGTAAGCTACCTCCTCACCAATTTTCAGCCATATCGGTAAAGCCGTTCTTGAGTTATAAATAGTGTAACTAACACGACTTTCCTTTATATATGTATAGAAGATTTGTAAATGAGTAAATAATAGTCAATTGAACAACAATATACGAGTGTATGAGCATTAGAGTAGTACACACATTTTATGTACTTCATTCCAAGAAAAAACAATTGAATAAAGACGAAGTTTCACGATTTCTTTATAAGAGACACTAGATGCTGCACGCGACTTCGTATGCGCGAAAATAAAGAAAAACTTAGTTAATAGCTTATGTGTTCATCCAGACTATATTGTACATCTGTGTCAAATTTCATCAAGATCCCCTGAGCTCATCCAATATTCGCATTTATTATATTAGTAGAAGATAAGATTTATGTATATTTTATACTTCCAATATAATAAATGTTTTTGCAAATCTTTTGATAGTTAAAGTGGTAATGATGCATAAAAATATAGCAAACTAAAATATATTAATGCTAATTTTCCTTTAACACATAAAAAATAGCGAGTAAATTTTTGACAACCCTAGGTGTTTGCAACCAGATCCAACGTAAATTATTGTGGTACATATTTGTCCGTTAGACTTGTTGGATAACTGTTTGCCATGTAGGTATTGTTGCCGTGACTTTCCGCTATCCTAACTACAAAAGAATCTATCTCTATTCCTTCCATAGAGAATGACAGAGATGAAAATATCCCTTACGGTTACTTGGCGCGGAAAGGCTTGCTTCGACCAAGGTTAACAAAGTGAGGTTTGTGAAAATTTGATTCATCCATAAAAATACTAATATTTAGTACTAATATTATAAATGCGGTTGTTTAGATGGATGGATGTTTCATACGGATCTCGATTAAATTTGGTACATATATAGAACATAGTCAGCCAAGCCACACTGGGCCAATGTGGTAGAACATGGCTACCCCTAATTTAGGGTAGACTCCGAGCCCCTCAGTAAGGACGTATAGTGAGCTGATGATGACAGAACATAGTCTGAAAGAACCTAGAGGCTTCTTAGCTTTTAGCTTAAATTTCACGAGGACGGGATCGCGGACAAAAGTTATTTTGAAATAAGTAAGTTTAAATATAAGTACCCTAAGTTAAGGGTGATTAGGCCATAGACAACCACGCTGGCCAAGTGCGGTTTGGTTGACTTCACACATATCTTTGAATTTCTTCTCAGATATGTGCTGGTTGCATCACGATGTTTTCCTTCACCGTAAGAACGACGGATAAATATACATATGTAAATCGGAAATCGAAAAACACATTGGTACATGGCGGGATTCGAACCCTGGACCTGCAGATTGCAAGTCAAGTGCTTGACCCCTGAGCCACCGACGCTCTTCTATTTAATAAATTATAATTGTATATAATATGTGTGTTTAAATATTATTTAAAGTAATTGTTATTGATCATTACAACATTGTGCGTCAGCAACGCAATTAAATATAAATGCGATTTAGATGGATTTTTTTTATAAGAGAAGGGGGCAAACGATTGACGGGAACACAGAGGTCAACGACACCCATGGACATCAGCAACACCAGAGGAACTGTAGATGCGTTGCCGGCCTTTAAGGAAATGGTATGCTCGCTTCTTGAAGGAATATTGAAGGATGAATGGATGGTTCTTGAAAGGTATCACCAGATCGGTTCAAAGCGATGTCGATAAAATTTGACATGGATGTAGAACATAGTGAACATATAGGCTACTAAATAGGTTTTTTGATTCCCGTACGGATGGAGTAACGGGCGACAGCTAATTAAGAATAGTTAGTAAAGTATTTTAATTTTTTCCAATATAGGTATAATGGCACATATAGTTAAGACCAATTAATTTTTAATTAAGGTAAACAAGAATTCATTAAAAAGCTTATTCACACTAAAAGAATGTATGAAACAGAGTACAAAGCAAAAAATCGAGTAAATTACACCTCAATTAAAAAGAGGTTATGGTCGTTTTTGAAATAAGAATTATTAATTTTTCGAATGCGTAATTTCAAGGGTTCCTACGTGTATAAACTAACCACAAAAAAAGTAATTTTAAGGAGAACCTTTTTAATGTACTGGCCAAATTACACTGGCCACATGTTCCGCATCTTTGTAAGGCAGAATAAAAAAAAATCCTAAGTCACATCCACACATATCAGTTACTTACTAATAAAAGTCCCGTCCAAATAGGTCCAGCCCTTTCAGACACTACGCGAATTTGCAGACAGATAGACAGTCATTTAAAAGTGGAATACTACATTTTTTTTTATCATAAGGTGGCAAACGAGCGAGCGGCCACCTGTAATCGCTGAAATAGCGAAGTGACCGTTGCCCATAGACATACGCAATTGCATATGCGTTGCCTACCTTTGATCGACAGAGGAGAGGATGCACAGAAAGAAAACAAAACAATATTTAATTTATAACCGTTCGATTTACTTACGAGAAGCCAGTGAGTGCGTTCATGAGTGATGACTTGCCAGCGCCTGACGGGCCCATGATCGCTGTGAGTTGACCTGACTTGAACACGCCTGACACTTGTTTGAGGATCGTCTTTGTTTCTGAAAAACAAACATCGTATTAATATAAAAGTAAAGGAATTGAAGACGATTGACAAGATGATTTTAACGTTCTTTATGTGTGGGTTTTTACAGCCGAAACTCGTATAAAAACAGTCCAAAACAAAATGCATGATTGAATAAAAGTTTCTACAGCAGTGTAAGCTCACGGTTATAAATGCATACATTGTTTGTTACATTAAAATTTTAATTGGAATGCTGTGTTAATGGTTTTAGATATACGTATCTTCAATTGTATATTTTTTTTCTGTTAAAATCAGGTTCAATCGTATAATTTATGCCAAGCGATTTAAAAATTAAAATCTTGTTTTGATTCCGGTTATTCCAGATCACACTCGTGTCTCTCAGTAATTCATACTCTGATTTTGGTCGTAATCTTAACAAGAATAAGTAAACTTAACTAAATTCATATTAACAAGTGAAGCAAATTATATATTGTGTCACTTTTTGTGAAAATTGCGAGAAAGGATGTATCAATATTTTTAATTTACAATTAACTAGCTGTCACCCGCGACTATGTCGCCGGGGAATAAAATAAAACTCAATTGGTAGCCTATGTGTTCTTCCAGACAATGTTTTACATCTGTACAAATGTCATTAAGATCCGGTGACCTATTCCGGAATACTTTCTAACCATCCATCCATCCCAACAAACTTTGGCATTTATACTTATGATCTTTTTAGACGTTTGAGAACAAAATAAAAACAAGATGATAAAGGGATTCATCTTAGTTACAAAAAAAATGGAAAATCAAACGGGACTTCACTAGAGCTTCACTAAAGCTTAGGTATTTTTGTTAATCATTTTATATTTTCCTTTATGATTAAGACGCATATAATTATATACAAGTTGTAATAAAATGTTCACAGCGAGCTTTTATTGGTTTACGATGGTTATAATAACACATGAGTTTCCTCCACATTATTGTAAAGTTGTATAATTTATAATGGTTCGCCATCTTATATCATGTGCTGTCTTATCAGGTGTATCTTTCCTCAAGTAGCAAATTACTTCGAGTTCGTGCTGAGGACATAAACATTCAAATAGTATATAGACAAGCGCCGGTGGCTCAGTGGTTAAGCACTTGACTTGTAATCTGCAGGTCCTGAGTTCGAATCCCATGTTCGAATGTCCTTTATAGGTCATTATTAAGGTGAAGAAAAACATAGTGATACAACCTGCAATATATCTATGAAGAAATTTAAATGATATGTGTGAAGTATGGGAGCGTCGGTGGCTCAGTGGTCAAGCACTTGACTTGCAATCTGCATGTCCTGGGTTCGCATCCTGCCATGTACCAATGTGTTTTTCCATTTCCGATTTATATATGTACATTTATCCGACGTTCCTACGGTGAAGGAAAACATCGTGATGCAACCTGCATATATCTGAGAAGAAATTCAAAGATATGTGTGAAGTCAACCAACCCGCACTGGGCCAGCATGAATGTCTATGGCCTAGTCAACTTTAACTTAGGGTAGGCTCTGAGCCTAAAAGAGAGTGAAAGCGTGCCCGTGGTCCCGTCCCGATGCGTTGGAGGAACGGAGAGGTTTAGTGGGTATGTCTTCGCTATGGAGGAGAATCCCACATAACTACCGCGTCCCCCCTGGGGCGCGGAGTATGCATAAAACATTTCTCTCTGGAAAAAAAAGGCTTTGAGCCTCTATGGAGACTTAAAGAAAGCTGATGATTAATAAGTTTTCGGTTTAAAAAAACGTATATACGAATTCGTCTCTAACATGTAATCATATTCCGAAGCATACGGACGATGGCGTGTATACATAATTTCGAAACCGAAGGTGTATACTTTCTGAAGTTGTGTATATGTTTACATATTTATGCAGCTGACTGTACATACATAGTTATATAAGGCAAAAGCACCATATCACAACAAAATTACATTTTACTACATAGTGCATTAGAGTCACGTTTCAGTAATTTTGAGTCGTTATTTCATAAACCTACAGAATGTAGATCACAGAATGATAAGTGATATGTTTTTATATTTAATATCTAAGTAACGTGAGGCCAATTAGGACATTTCTATATAATGCGCATTTCAGCCCGGATACGAAGTCGGAGGAATTTGTGTGCGACATATAAAACCAGCTTTAGACCACAAAATTAAACAAGTTTTTAAAAACGTCTAAGCAACAAGAAATTCTTTTTTGCACATGCACTGAAATTTAATCTACATCCTGGAATCGCAGTTGGACCAAATACTCTGAAGAAAATATGAGGGCCTATCGCAAAAATTTACGAAAAAATATTCGATGTGTGAATTAAGCAGTTATCTCACATAATAAAAATTAATGGCTAAAGTTAACAGAATTACACACAAGATAATGGCTCTAGACAAGGATTATTTGATATTTTTTGAACATTAACAGGGTGGCGTTAATATGCGAATCTAATTTAGTAACATCCAGTGAGATCATTTTGAAGGTATATGCACTAGCTGTAGCCCGCTACTCTGTCCGCGCGGTATTAAAAAATAGATGTTGTCCGATTCTCAGACCTACTCAATATGCTCACAAAATTTCATGAGAATCGGTCAAGCCGTTTCGGAGGAGTATGTGCACGAAAATTGTGACACGAGAATTTTATATATGAGTTTATTTGTGAAGGTGAACATGATGACAGAATAGAAAAAGTGGATGCACAAAATTTTGATTAGCATCATATGCGAATCATTTGAACGGTCAATTTGCGATCTCATAAGAAACCAGTTTTCTTTTTAAATTGATGTTTCTTTGTAGTAACTTGCCTGGCTTCTTCTTCGGCTTTTTTATAGTAGCTAGTACCTACCATTCCTTATAACGCCCTGTCTCGTAAAATCTTTGTAAATGCGCTCGACTCACGAGGTGATTTTTCGAACATGTCCTTTTTCTTTTCTGCGGACTCTCTTAAGAAGATATTCTTGCTGCAACCTCCATGCAAAATATAACTTTGCAATAACGTAGCGGGACATTAAATGAAAAGCGGAAAATTCCCTAATAAAACGTATTAACTTCGGCTTAAAAACTAAGAAAAGATAAATAATTATAATAATTTGTAACAGTAATAACTGATAAACGTTAAATAAATAGGCCCTGGGTTAAATGTCAACTTTAATTGCGCAATTATTTTTGTAGCTTGCATTTATGTAATATTAATTTTATGTATATCCAATTCCATTTAATGGATTTAAAGGACAACATAATTTACGCCAGGGCCATATTTTATATACAAAGTTATGTTTAATTAGATCAACTTGTTTTTTTACATTCCGCATATATACTACATAACGGATACATAACTACGGAAAACTGCAAAAACATGTTCTCGTTCTCTCTCCTTGAAAAAACCTATATAATTGCCTACTTTTAAAACTATATACACTTTACAATATATAAAAAATAAAATTTGACATTACAACTACCTTTGTTTATAGAAACTGTCGCTAGATGCAAATAAGCAATGGGTCTAGCACGAATTTTTGTGACAATCGCCATCGTATCATCACCGACAAAAGTATGTAAATTTAAACAGCCCTATTGGGCGTAAAGTGCACCATAAATCTCATATTTATTTTGACATACATGAAGATGACTACACTAACAAAGACGTTAGTCACAAATAATAATAAGTTTAATTTCTATTCTTTACAAACATTATTTGGAGTCACAAACACACACATAGTCACCCCTATCTTACGGTAGGCTCCGAGCCACTCAGTGGGAACATATCGTGAACTGATGATGACTATTTGGAACCATGATATAGTAAGAAAACATCATCATTTGCAGACGTGAAGTGGAAGTAATTTCGCGTTTCGTCCGATGAGTGTGCGTCCCGGAGGCCTAAGTTAGTCCTTTTTCCCTTCCCACCCTTTTTCTTATAAGGAAAGGATGGAAAGTGGAAATGGACTTTCCGGGTGAGAGGATGCATGGGAAGGGAAAATGTTTTCTTTCTGTGCATCCTCTCCACCGTCGATTAAAGGTAGGCAATGCATATGCAATTGCGTAAGTCTATGGGCAACGGTCACTTCGCTATTTTAGCGATTTCAGGTGGCCGCTCACTCGTTTGCCACCTTATGATATAAAAAAAAATCAATCGTCCAAAACTCACTGCAGTAGTTAAAGCATTGGCTGAAAATAGAACAGTTGTTTGTTGTACTACAATTATTATTTCAAAGTAACATATTTTTATGGAATGTCATAACTAACATTGTTTATATGTGTTACCGGTTTTTATGTAGACACTAGCTGTCGCCCTCGACTCCGTCCGCGCGTAATAAAAATAAAACTTTATTAGTAATCTATATCGAAATTATGTTATGTTTTATTTCTTTATAATTATTTTGCGCTGTTTTTGTTTATTATGTTGTAGTATTGAAATGATTAAATGTTATTTTATTTTAAACTAGCTGTCGCCCGCGACTCCGTCCGCGTGGGATTAAAAATAGATCTTGGCCGATTCTCAGACCTACTCAATATGCTCACAAAATTACATGAGAATCGGACAAGCCGTTTCGGAGGAGTATGGGAACGAAAATTGTGATACGAGAATTTTAATTACAAGATTAGTGCATCCAAATATTCGCATTTATAATATTAAGATGATGTTACTGTTGAGTTTTAACAGCAGTGAAACTTGTATTAACACAGATTGTCGTCTATGTCATTAAAAAAACAACAACACTGTGTCAATGTAAATGTCAACGTAGTTATAGCCCAGTTATGAGTGCATTTAGCATGTCTGTAAATGAATATGACCGCTGTAAATTGTTTTGTTTTGCTAGCTTCTATTGAACGGTCAGTGATTATTGTAAGGAAGTTACATTTGAATCGATTAGCGAACTAAACGGATGGATTGCGTTCAATGAATCGAATGATTTCAAAATATTTGCTAACGATATAAAGAATACACGATCAAACACTTATGGGATTGTATTTATTTGTTGAGCTCTCACGTTTTTGCCCGACTTACATAATGGACA